GGAACACCACACTTGGGTGCACTGAATCCATAAAGGAAATTTTTCTTCTCTCAGTATCAATTCAAAACTATGTAATTAAAACTATCTTTATTATAGTGAGATGTTTATTGTGATTACTGACAGAATTGTCTCAAAACTGATATTTACTGTAGTAGGATTTGACCTGTATTTGGCGAAGCTATGTTTTAAAATAATACATTGAGATTCACCAAAGAACCATCAACTCTTCCCAAAGATAGAAATTGAAGAGTTTCTTTTCCTGAAATAATTATTTCATTAAATGTTACAAGTTAATATGTTTTAGTTATTTAACTTCTTCAGCAGTCTCTGCAAAATGCATCATTCCATCTCTCTACTATTCATCTGGAGGAAACACGTGCTAGTAACTGACTTCCCTTTATTTTTCTCTACATTCCAGATTCTTTAGTGTTTAACTTTATTACAGGCAAGCAGAGCTTGGTCCGTATTAGAGTGACAAAGACTATTTCCTTAATTACTGTACAGAGATAATAGCATTTATTCTGGCAGTTCCCGTGTTATTCAATCAGGTAAGATCCAATACAAAAAAAAAAAAAAAAAAGCTGATTTGCCAAAAGGGAGATTAGCACAACTGCCTACAGTCACATTCTATTTTTTGAAGTTTACGGCTTTCAGGGAGCACTTCTTGTTGGAAGTCCTATTTAAAAATTATGGAAGGATTATGATACTAGCGTCCACCTGATAGAGGAAAACAAGGAAGGCAAGTGGGCCATTTTAGAAATCACAACTTTTAAGCTAATTGCAATTTTGAAGGTAAACCTAATGGTACTGCAGAAAACAAGAACAACTCTAATGTAATCCTGGCAGCATTGTGATTTCAAACTGCTAAACCATGCAATGTATTTGCTTTTCCTTTGTGTGGGCTTGCATATTTACCTTCACCAAGGATATTTCTCTGTTTCGTGGTTATACATTGCAGCACTCATGATTGATGAATTACTGTCAAGGACAAACTAAGGCTCTTGCTTTTTACCAAAACGACTTTTTATAAAACACAAAACTTTTCCACGGGAGAAATGCAGATTCAGCATTATGCATTTTCGTTAACAGGTTTAACAGGATGGCCTACTACAAATGGTGAATAAAACGAGAGCAAACTTGGGAAAGCAACCGCAAAGGTAAGATTGAATTAAGGGTAAATATATGCAAATTGTCCCAGCCCTAACGCTGTCTTCTGAGGAAAATGCCAGCGCTACTGATTATTTTTTGGAATTTAAAATGGCAGTCACCCAATTGTTTTGCCCTTTACTACGATCACTAGAAGGAAATACTTCTAACCCAACCCAAAAAGTCACTTCTAAAGAAAAATTATGTACATATTCCCACAGTAACCAAAAAGCATGGTAATATTTTGTTTTCTTTTACTTCTTTATCTTTTCAAGCTGTTAAGACAATTTCTTTTTTGTTTTTTAAATTTTTAAGATCGATATTGGGTCTCACTATGTTGCCCAGGCTAGTCTACTCCTGGGCTCAAGCAATCCTCCCATCTTGGCCTCCCAAAGTGCTGGGATAACAAGCATGCACTACCACGCCCTACATCCCCAACAACCCTCTTCTAGGGTTCCTTGTAATCGTATCTACAGAATCATCCAGAAATTCTCACTGAGTCCATTTCAACACCTGAAAAGACATGCGAAGTACAGATTCTTCTCTGTAATGTGATATACATCCTCTTGGTTAAAGTGTTTTAAAGTATCTCAGGAGTTAACTTACAAATCTCATAAATAGATACTGTAGTTCAAGTTTGGCCTCAAAAAATAAGAAAGGATACATGAAAGAAAACAAAAAGATCTGATGGAAATCGGGGAAAAAAAATTATTATTTGTTAATCCTGAGTGGTGGGTACAGAGATATCTGTCATTTTCTGGTTTTCTGTATTGGAATGCTTCATAACTTTAAAATTTGTTTTTCTAAGGCCAAGAAAAGCTAAAGAAGTTACCAGGTGCTCAAATTCTAAATGAAGAAATGAGAAGGAATAGGGAAAATTGCACTGCATTTTTCTTTTTCAGGGGTAGTAAATTGAAGAAAACGCTGAACTGCAGTTGCATTGAAGGGACAATGATCTAGGGGGTCCCTGGGAGCAGTATTCCTATTCCACTGAAGGAGGTGAGCCAAGATACTTATAAGCTCTAGAGAACCTTTAACACAGGAAGCTATTTATCATAACAAGCTTGGTTGATACTGTTCCCATACTGAACCAATTAGGTTCGCCTGTTTCGTCATACTTCATAACTTGGGATGATAGGTTTCCAAGTATGGTACAGTGTAGTAATTGAATTTTGATCAAACACACATGGCCCATAACCCAGTATGTGAAATTTTCAGAACAGTTCACAGCTTTTAAATATCCAGTCAACATGTTGCCAAAAGTACAGGATGTACTTGATGCAAGGGGGAGAGAAAGGGGAGGGCTGAATCTTGGTAGAGTTGTAAAACAAATATTTTTGTTCTTGTTCTCTTCTTATTTTTCAAATAGCAGTGGGGAAAGGCCATGGGATATCATATCAAAACTCAAGTCTTCCCCTTGCTTGTTCCATGTGCATAAACATCCTTAAGTCTCATTTCAGATCAGCATTTTCTTTTGCATGAAACTCTTTTCACGTCACAGGCCTCTTACACACGACCTGCTAGCATTCTCCTTCCAGCACTATCCAAAAAGTATTTCTTGACAACCTACTATATGTTAGGCATTGGGTCTCTTGGTAAATTCTTTTGAACAAGGAGACATGATCCCTGCCTTCATTTGATCTACTGTGGATGGAGAGAAGGACATAAAATACATAAAAACATCAATAATTTTTTATAATTGCAACCGCTAATAAGTAACGTGAAGGAAAAATAGGGCATCAGGAGTAACAACAATGGGGATGTGATTTATCCAGAAAGGATGAAGTGGAGAGGAGTAGCATGGACTGCATTTCCAAGGAAGTGCCATGTATGTTGAATTCTGAAAGATGAGAAGTGATCCAAGGGAGTGAACACTGAGAGAAAGTATTCCCAAAAGAAGTAGGCAAGTAAGCATATGGATAGGCCTTGAAGTAGGCAAGAGTTTGGCAAGTTCAAGGACCTGAAGTCTAGTATATTCAGTGAGAGAGCCGCTAAAAAGATAGTGGGGGCCAGACCACACAAGGCCATGCAAAGGATTATGCAAAGTGCAATCGCTGAAAGCTGGTAAGCCGGGGAATGACATGATGGGAGGCAGGCAAGACTAGAAGCAGAAAGACTAACTAGAAGGCTTTGGCAATCGTCCAGCTGGGAAGTGATAATGGCTTGGAACACAGCAATAGCAAGGATGGAGAACAGTGGGCAGATCTGGGAGAGATTTTGGAGAAGAACTGACATGATTTGGTGATAACTGGATGTGGGAAGTGAGGGAGAGGGAGGTTCCAAGGACATTTTCAGGTTTCTAGTTTGAAAGACTTAATGAATAAAGTCTAATGAATAACAACTGGTTAGTATAACCCGCAAGACTACACCAAAGCAGTAGGAGAGCCACACAACTTTCACAAGCTCCCGTGTCTGCAGGGCTGCTCTGCTCTCTTTGGATTCTGTAGGAACAGAGGCATTAATCAGGTGCTGGGAATACAGACATTTTCCACCAACATGCTCATCCAACTTTCCTTTACCATAAGCCAGAAGAATGTCTCTGAGCTACGAACATCAGACTTTAATATAAACTTTAAAATCTTACTCTTAGCTCTGTGGACATGGTTATAGGTGTCTGGCAATTGAACTAGGAGAGCTTGAAAGTAAACAAATTGTCCCTTGGAAATTGATGTAAAAACCAAGCATGTTTCTTTATACATTCAACAGATTTTACTGAACGTCTTTAGCCTGAGAAGTATGAGGTAAATTAGATGTGTTCCCTGCCTGGGCAAAGAGTATATTCTATTAGAGGAGAAAGAAGCATACCAAGATGTGCGTAACACAGTTATGCAGTATGTAGTATGCCATGTAGATCTAGCAAGAGAGCGACATTGAACAGATGATGGGGAGGGGGTGGAAATCGGTGCATGGGCATGGCTATGAAAGATTTCAAAGAGGCTGTATTTGAGACAAGCCTTGAAAGACCAACAAGAGCTTACTAAGCAGAGAAGAGGATGAGGGAGAAATTCCCTAAGGAAGAAACAGCACAAGTAAGGGCACGAGGGTCCTGAAGAGCACTGGGTATTTGGGGCTAAAGGGTAAAAGAGCAGGGTGTCTGATTCCAGATTAAAATGTCATCCCTTTATTCTGAAATCTGAAAAATACTAGCAGCTTGATTTATCCACAGTCACTTGTGCCAGGTAGAGAATCCTAATTCGTGTAGGCCCAAACCAACACGAACCTCTTGATGTGACTGCTGCCTGAATATTGCAGTGTCCGTGGGAGCTTTGAGTTTACCTATCCAGATGGGAGAAACTCTTTCCCGAAATTCATAAGCAGTCCCACAACTCCGCCAAGGCTACGGGACCCAGCTTTCTGAGGCGCCTAGAAAGACATGGCAGTGGCCCGAGGTGATGCTGATGTGGGCTGCCGAATGCACACAATAGAATGTCTGTGACATTTAATCTCATTCTGGCAAACTGGTGCAGCTGCCCTTGTACAACAAACGGGAAGGCATAGTGAGTGACCACCACCAAAAACAAACAAACAAAACAAGTGTGTGCGTGCGTGTGATCTTTAAAATGTAATAGCTATTCAGACAGTCCTTAGAGAAGGAATTGGCAGCTTCGGCCTCCAAGACTGCTCCCCCACCTGTCTCCAGGCACTGCAAACACAGCTGTGTAAGAAGGAGACAGTCAACGCTTCCAAGGAAAGAAATAGTGCAGTCTTGGGGGTGGGGTGATGATGACAGAACCTTTCTCACAAACCCACGTGGGACAGGGCCTTGTCTAGCAACCGCAAAAATAATCGAGCAGGACGTGGTCAAGCTCTTTATAAAACTTCATGTTAAGTAAAATCATTCAAGATCCAACTCAATGGCCACCTTAAACCCATGTTTTGAAAGCGTGAGACAGAGCACACGATTCACGCTCAAGGGAGAACGAGGTAGCATGCATTCTGGCAAGACGCACATTCAGGTTTGCTCCCTGTATCAAGATGAGACGTAAAGACGATTTATGCACTGTCATAGAACTTGTAGTTCCTCACACAAAACACAGAACTTCCTGGGAAGGTGCCTAGAAACTTCTTTATCTGTATTTCCCCAGGCTGCAAAGTGCACACATTTTTAAAGTTCAACTCTTAAAAAAAAAAAAAAAAAAAAAAAGTCAGCAGAGGCAAGATTTCAACAGACGCCGGTCCAAATGTTAGCAATTCTAGAGTGGTCAGGGGTTTGCCGCTCCCGAAAGTAAGGGGGAAATTAGAAGAAGGAAAGAAGTCGTTTTCGAAGATGAAAACCAAAGCAAGGAGGTATTTTTGGTATCATTTTAATCACAAAATAGCACGAATGCGGTCTGTGCCTGTGCGCTACCCAAACGTCGATTTGAATACCACTGAACGCTAGTTTGAAAATTTCCATTTTTGTAATTTGCTTTCTTTTGTTAAGCCAAGACTTGAGAGAAACCTGGCAGCCGTCTCCAAGTCTGGCACGATTTCACCTCAGACGCACTCGGTTGGTTTGGATGTTGAGGGAGACCGCACAAGAGAGAAGGAAAAGGAGGAAGAGAGCTGGAGAGCAAAGCTACCGCTCGGCGGCCGCCGCAGAGAGCAGGCCCGGGGCCTCTCAGCCAGGGGATCTGGCTCCACCTACAGGAATCAGAAGGCAAACCTAGTAGACGCCCCGGCGTCTGCAGGAACCCAGTGGGGGCTGGGGGGAACTTGGATAATTGCCTAGAGCATATCCTAGCCAATAGGAATGGGGGTCGGTGGAAGTGGTAAAGATTGGGAAGCAGGGATTTCCATGATCAGATCACCCACAGTCATATCAGATTCAGCGATTCTTATTTGGAGGAGAAAAGATATCATGTCACCTCCTACGACCTAGGAATTTTAACTGGTTCCACGTAAACCACATTTGAATGCAAAGGCAGCACCTGGTCCCAGGACAGGCCCAGCACATAGCATGCTCAGGCAATAACATTTGAATGAATGAATGAACTGAATAATCCAATCTATCAAACAACAGAAACCTAATGTGATAAAAAGAAACAACCCCCCCTACACACCCCAACACTGAAAGGTATATGTATGAGTTGCCACGCATTTTTGATGGCTGATAATTGCTACAAAAATCCTGCACCACGTAGACTAGTCGTGTTCCACCTCCGATGTGCCAGAGCAGTGACTGAGAACCACCGATTTCATCCCATGCCCTCATTTGCCAACGAACAAACAGAAGCTTGAAGAGGTTAAATGCCTTTTCCTAGGTCAACCAGTTTGTTGGTGACAGGACTGGTTTGGGGCTACATTTTCCTGACCTGTCTGGTGTTTGTTTTCTAAAGGCAGGAGACTCACTTTGCATTGGCCTACTGGATGCCCTCAGCCAACTGGCTCTCACAGGAGGAAGTTAGCTTCCCCCACCCACCTGTTGGTCTGTCCCTGGGCTTCTGCGCCAGCTTCTGCTCTGGGCCACAGCCTCTGCTCATGCTGCTGTACTCCAAAAATCAAATGCTGCCTGGAGCTAATGCCAATGGTTGCTAAACTTATGAATTCATTTCCTAAAGCCTAAGGGACAGAATATTTGAGCATGTGGGTTAGTAAGCTACAAACAGGCAGGTGCTTTGTTTTGGCAACACAAGTGTCTTATATGCAATATCTCCTCCATCTATTTACCCAAAGCACTTAATAAGCAGTTACTGAGTTTCCCAATGATACTTATAGAAGAAGATGTTATTTACCAATTGAAAAGGAATTTTTGCCATAGGCAGTTAGCACTCAGTTTCCAGATGAAAAGGTGAAGATCCTTCTGGGAAGTGAGATGCTGTGTGTATTATTGTGAGATGAATATGATCCAGGGAAAGATGGGGATTAGCAGATCCAGATTCTTTTTTTTTTTTTTTTTGAGACGGAATTTCACTCTTGTTGCCCAGGCTGGAGTGCAGTGGCATGTTCTCAGCTCACCACAACCACCGCCTCCCGGATTCAAGCGATTCTCCTGCCTCAGCCTCCACAGTAGCTGGGATTACAGGCACCTGCCACCATGCCCGGCTAATTTTGTATTTTTAGTAGAGACGGGGTTTCTCCATGTTGATCAGGCTGGTTTCAAACTCCCAACCTCAGGTGATCCACTCACCTCGGCCTCCCAAAGTGCTGGGATTAGAGGTGTGAGCCACTGCGCCTGGCCTAGCAGATCCAGATTCTAACCACAGCCTATCTATAAAATGGAACTAATATTGTCTTGACCTCTGAATGGATTAAAAATTAAGCATTATTATTAATCACAATATTAATAATGACACTGAACTATTACTAAGTGCTTACTACATTCCAGGCTCTCAAATGACCACTTTACATGCATTGCCTAACTTATTCTCAGAGCAATCCCATACAGGTGACAATTATTACCCCCATTTTACAGAACAAGAGAACGGAAGCTCAGAAGGGTTAAAATACTCACCTCCAGTGACAGTTTACAATGGTAAGGCCAGTGGTGGGAGCCCAACTCCTATCTGACTTGGGACTTCAAAACATTATGTCACACAATAAATGCCTATTAGCTGATTCTATGCCAGTGGCATTCAAATATCAATCTCCAGTTCTGAGCTTTCAAAGGAACTCCGTGCTTCTATTCCCAAATGCTCAAAGAATATCGTTAATTATATATTCCACTATTGTCTCAAACTTAAAAGGGCCTAAGCCAAACTCTTTCCTTCCTTTCATAAGCATTTACTGAGAACCATTCATGTTCAAACCTCCATGGTTTGTAATCTAGGGCAGTGGTTCTCAACTGGGGTGATTTTGCTCTCCAGAGGACATTTGATAATGTCTGGAGACATTTTTGGTTATCACCACTGGGGCTGTGGAGTGCTACTAGCATCTAGTGAGTAGAGGCCAGGAATGCTGCTGAATGTTCTGCAATGCACACAGTAACTCACCCCTCAAAAGAATTATTTGGCCCAAAATGTCAATAGCTCTGAGGTTGAGAAATTCTGGTTTAGGAATATAAGGATGAATTAGATAGCTATAATCAATCATCTGATGTAAGAGATATACGTATAAATTATAAGCACGAATTTGACCTAGATATCTGTGTGATGACAAGGGGTCCATCAAGAGCTATGAGGTTTATTATAGGCTGGAGAAGTCTTAGTGGAGGAAGTGGCACTTAAGCCAGGCATTAAAGGAGAGATAAGATCTGGATTCTGGATAAAAAAGAACAAACAGTGTGCAGGGTGTGGGTGTACACGAAGAATGTTGGTTTATTTTAATTGGAGTGGAGGAGGTGTGAAGAGGAGTAGTGGAGAAACGGGCGTAATGTTTTGTTGGGGCCAGACCAATGGGCCTGAATGCACAGAGAACTTCGGACTTTAGGTGTAAGTAATAAGAAGCGATCTAACATTTTCACATGGGGTGTAATATGATCACAATGTTCTAGGGAGATGAATCTAGCAGCTGAATAAAAAATGGATTGCAGAGAGTAAGGAGCTGGAGACAAGAAGACATGTTATAACACTATTGCTACAGATTTTGCTATTTTAAAATAAACCACTTAGCTATTTTTGTTATTATTGGTACCAAACAATAATTGAGTGATTATTGTGATTTAGGACCTAAGCTAAACACAATATATATATAATCTTACTTAACGTTCCTCACTTTCATAAGGATTTCCCCATTATATAGATAAGGGAACAGGGTCTTAGACTGGAAAAGAAAGTGGCAGAGTCAGTTTGGAGTCCAGCTCTGACTACCAAAGCCTTTGCTCCTTACTGCTTTTTGTGCTGGGCATATGGTCTGGATTCTTAACCTCTTGATCAGACCAGACTGTTCTCATTTATAAGGTGGGCAATAAAACCAAACAGCTCAGACCCCTACTGGGAATGGGACAGTCTAGGACACAAAGCCTCAGGAAATCTGCTCCTCCTCGGAGGCTACAGCTAACTGTAGGGATAAAAGGAGTGTTTCTCTGGGCTTTGGGGGGTGTGGGGAGCATAGGCATATGTCCTATTACAAATACACCTACATAATAGCTTCCTTAAGTCTATTTTAAGTCTATTCCTCCCAAGGAGATGGAAAGTAACAATGAAAATGGGCACAATCTGGGACATCTGAATAAAAAATCAGATTTCTCATGTCAGGCCTCTCCTGCCTTGATGAGGTTGCAAGCAGGGGATATGAAGCGGGGAATAGAAGGGCTGTGACTCCGAAATTCCTTGTTGACTTGGCTCCTGATCAGATTGCTAACTAGGTTCAGGTGTGAGCTCCAATTTTGTTTCAGAGACCCTTGGCCACAGGTGAGGAAGGAGAGGAAAGGTGTCAAATGTATCTGTAGTCAGAGTGGGCGGCAGCACTGGAATTGGAGGGTGTGCCAACAAAGGCATGGCCATACATGCCTGCCAGCACCAAGTGGCAGTGACAGGTCTCTAATGGGCCTGCAACTAGGGTGTGTTTGGTGACCCAGGACTCCAGCTTTTGTTGTGGAAGAAGATTCATTACAAGGAACAAGAGAAGGAAAGGACCAAAACAGTGGCCACCACTGAGCACCCAATGACCAGTAGATGAATTACATGTGAGAACCTCCTTGAATTCTTCCAGAACTGTCAGCTAGAAAAAGATGGTGGACATACTCACAGAGCAGGCAGGACAGAGCCAGAGAGACACTGTCTGATGGACATCTCCGCTGTTCTACCTGACTTCTTCCAATGCAGGATAATCTTGAAACTATTTTGGAAAGTTTGTGATCTATAATTTAAAGATCAAGCACTGCAGAATTTCAAGATTCCGATTATTCTTTCTAAAATCCCACAAATTTAAGAAACGTTAAGTTCTTGCCACACCTCTTAGATTTTGACATTCTAATAAATGTACTTTAAAAAAAAATCAGGATACAGACTCCCTCTCTAGCCTTGATTTCCTCAAGGTCAACGATTAAATCTGCAGCACTGGGCTCAGGAGGCTCTCAAGAAGTTTCTGCCAAGTTTAACAGGGTGCAACGTTTGCCCAAACCATCAAGAATATTCACTACATGAATTAATATAATTTTGATCCAACTTTTACTTTCACCTAGTAATAAAAAATAACCTTATGCATCAATATGCCTATTTTCACACAGCCTTTGTCCACAGTCTGTAAGTTGTCCTAATACTAAGACCAAATGCCAATAAGCAAATGTTTTTCCCTTGAGAAAATCTGGAAGAGGGAATCACACTAAAACACACTACTCAGAAGGATCTGTTCCACTGGTTTTGTTGGTATAAGTGGCATAATTAGGCCTCTTCAAACCAAACAGTGTCCTGAGAGAGAGTGAAAACCAGAAATCCAGGTTCTCATTGATATGGCCTTTTCTCAATTCTGTTACCCTTCATGAGCTATTCTTTATGGAAATGAAGCTTGAGACTAAAAGCACTGCTATCAAGACATGAGGGTCTTCAGACAACTGGAAACATTCCTGGTCAATTCACACACCCCACACCTCAAACCCTCTTGCTTGAATCCAACCTGGTAGATAATATATTACCCAACATTGAAGTAACAGGTTGGCTTTGAATCCCTATTGAATGTCTACTATGCAGTCAGTGAGGAGTTTCAACTTATAGAGATTAAGAAGAAAGGCCCTAACATTTGGCTTATAAGCTAGTTGAAGAAAACACAGTGCACGTAGAACAGTGGAAGACAATATTCCTTCCTCAAACACTACTGAGTGCCTACTTCGAGCTAGGCCCTGTGCTAGACAATAGGGGTGCCAAAAGTAAATTGATTCCATTTTGTTCAATTCAACTCATTATTCATTCGGCATTTATTGATTGAATGCTTTTGTACTAGAGCACTGCTTTTCAAACCTTAACGCATATGTGAATCACCTGTGGGTTCTGATTCAGTAGGTCTGGGATACAGCGTGGGAGCCTGCATTGCTAGCAAACTCACAGGGCATGCGGATGCTGCTGGCCTGTGAACCACACTTTGAGTAGTAAAGGACTGTACAATATCCTAGTCCTCGGCTATACAGAAGCAAATAAAATAGCCATGACCCCTGCCCTACTGAAGCTGATATGCTAACATGGAATGTAAATATCAAACAAGGAAGTAGAGTCAGCGCTGTATTTCCGCAGTTTCCACATTCATGTATTTAACCAGTCACAAATTGAAAACAGCCAGAAAAAACAACAACAAAAAATAACACTGCAACAGTAAAGAATAATATAAATTTAAAATATAATATAACAACTTATTTACATATTATTTCCATTACATTAGGTATTATGAGTAATGTAGAAATGATTTAAAGTATACAGGTGCCCTCTGTTAATGACATTCTGGCAAAAAAAATATTTTTTAAAGGTAAAAATGTAAAATTAGATACAAGAGTAAAAAATTTTTTAATAAAATAAAAATAAAGTATGCAGGAGGATGTGCATAGGTGATAGGCAAATACTATGCCATTTTATGGAAGGGGCTTGAGTATCAGAAGATTTTTTTTATCCGAGGGGGTCCTGGAACAAATCCCCTGAGGATACAGAGGGAGGACGTTTCAATAAAATACAATGTTAGAGGAAGTCCAAGGTTATGTTGGGAGCATCGTGTGAGGGCACCTAACTTCATCTACAGATCAAAAAAACTTTCCTGAGGAAGTGATGTTTAGATTGACAAGAATTTACAAATAGTAAAGGAAGGAAGAGTATTTCAGACAGAGGGAGCAGCATGTTTGAAGGCATGGAGGTGAGATAAAATTTAGATATTCAACAAATATTTACTGAGTTTTCCCATTGCCAGGCTCTGTACTGGGTGGAAGACCCTGGCACAGGGGAGACTACATCAGGGGACAGAGATACGGGAACAGATGACTTCAAAATAATGTGGCAGGAGCTCTAACAGTGGTCAGCACCGGGCACCAGAGGAGTACTGAAGAGATTGCCTAACCCATCCCAGGATGGATGGTATTGGAGCTGAGCCTTGACAGACGAGTGAGAATAAAGAAGGAGAAGAAGACGTGGCAAGGTGGGAGACCTGGTCCTTGCCTCCATGGACATAGTCTAGCAGGGAAGTTGGCAAGCTGACTGTATAATACTAATTATAGTGCAGTACAATAAGTGTCTGAGAACAGTGCCTAGCACATCGTAGGCACTTATTAAATATCTGTTGAATAAATGAAGGTATAAATGCTGTATAATACTTATAGTGCAGTACGATAAGTGTCTGGGAACAGTGCCTGGCACATAGTAGGCACTCATTAAATATGTGTTGAATAAATGAAAATATAAATGCTGTATGATACTGATTATCATAGAGTACAATACGTGTCTGAGAACAGTGTCTGGCACATAGTAGGCATTCATTCAACATGTGTTGAATGAATGAATTTATAAATGTTGTGCTAGTGGTAGACACAATCTTGTAGTCCTTGAAACAATTGGGTACTAAATTAAGAGTTACCAACTCCAAGCGCCCACGGAGCTCAGAGCACAAAGAGCTCCAAAAGGGTGAAACATGAACCAGATTTGAAGGAAGGATCAACTCTGTGGGATGAAGGTCAGTAGACATTCATCCTGAAAAGGAAAAACTACCAGTAACACCACTAGAAGTAAAGGGTGAAGAAAACAGGAAACGAACACAAAGCAGGATTTCTTACGGGTCCATGGTACTTCTGGGGCATCTATGAAACCCCAGAGATTATAAGCAAAATCCTAGGTATGTATGAGCAAGGCTATTTTACTGGGGGAAAAGACTAGAACTTTCGTGAAATAGTCAAAGGAATCCAATAAGCTGAGTAGGTCAAGACTGTCTCGGGGAGAACAGGTAACCTACTTCAGATAGCCTGTGAATCACTTCACTCATGACAAATAATTATGCCAATGGACTCCCAACACAGAAAACCTTGGGTCTGAGTGAGCAGCAGTGGTTTCAGCCCTGCCTTTAAGTGGCATTTTTAGTATTTCCTTGCTGCTGCCTATCAATCCAGACCTATCCACGTTGTCAGGGTATCCTTAGCAGCCGATGGAGATGCCTCTTTCCAAAGGCAATTTACATGCACCAAAGTCCTTCCTCCTAATGATTTTCCAGGAGGGACAATGCCCTCTTGTTAGAATGTCCATTGTTTACATTTATCTGATCTTTTCTCACAATTTCCATTGAGTAGCAGTTGCTACAACCACCTGAGCATCGAATGGGCAATTAATTGGAACAGATTTACTAAATGTACTGGAGAAGGAAGCTGTATGTTTATGGACTACAGTTCTTTCATGTTCATGCATAATGGACCACACACTTTTCCACCCAGCTGCTTATGCTACCACAGTGAATACAAAATGTACATACCTGGAAAAAAACAGTTTCTGAAACATTACTAATAAATGTAGTGAATTTGTCTGTTAGGATAAGCTATGGTATCTCTATGGCTTAACTTTGCACCATTCTATTCTTGGTTGAAAGTATCTACAGTGTCTCCCCTTACTGTCTTCTTTCTAAAATATAATTTTATATTTTAATAGAAATGGCCCTTTTTCAACCAAGAATCAGGGCATTGTGAAAGAGCAATGTGCATTCCCCCTGTTTGAAAGCACAGGGACTGCTTAAAGTTTTTAGAATACAAAATAACTTTAGAGTGGAAACCTTAGCAACCAGATTGTACTAGTAAGAGTGTAATGTTCAAAAGGAGAACAATGGTCCCAATCCCCTCAGGGTTAGGTACACCACATAAGAAATATTTGTATCCAGTACTTGATGCCACATCCTACAAGGGATAACGATAGGCCCATGAGTCTGGTAGGTGCTCTCAAAGTGAAGGCAAATGGCAATAGCAAACATTCCATAGAGTTCTTGCTAAGTGCCAAGCACTATACATTTAATCTTCACAACCACTCAATAAGAAACTATTAGGGGCTAAGCACAGTGGCTCACGCCTGTAATCCCAGCACTTTGGGAGGCTGAGGTGGGCAGATCATGAGGTCAGGAGTTTGAGACCAGCCTCAGCAACATGGTGAAATGCCATCTCTACTAAAGATACAAAAAGTAGCCAGCGTGGTAGGGGGCGCCTGTAATCCCAGCTACTTGGGAGGCTGGGAGAGGAGAATCGCTTGAACCTGGGAGGTGGAAGTTGCAGTGAGCCGAGATCACGCCACTGCACTCCAGCCTGGGTGAGAGAGCGACACTCTGTCTCAAAAAAAAAAAAAGGAAGAAACTATTAGGTTGGTGCAAAAGTAATCGCAGTTTTGCCATTGAAATTAATGGCAAAAACCGTGATTACTTTTGCACCAAGCTAATACTATTATTATCCCCATTTTACAAATAAAGAAACTCACGGTCATACACATAGTAAGTGAAGGAACTCGCAGTGCCACTCAGTTCTATCTGATTTCCATGGACCCTCAGTGTAAGCAGTTGTTATATTTTTAATTAATCTTGCTAGAGATGATTGGTAAGTATGACACTGAAATCATTGCAACTGTGTTGTGTGTGCATTAGTCTTGTCTCACCAATCAGAATAAACACACTGTGAAGGCAGTGACCACATTAATTACACACATGTTTACTTCCCAGGCCAAGCACAGAGCTGGACATAAGGAGGTCTTTCTTACATCTTTTGCTGAATAAAATAACTCATTTTGAAACGCTTCAAAAACCAATTTACCCATGAGATTATTGAGGGTGTTGGTGGAAAGGACACTCTGGGGATATGAATTGTTAGGGACATTTTAGAGGACACTGGTCATAATTATCAAAGTGTAAAATGTGTAAACCCCTTGACCCACAGTTATGTTTCTAGGAGTCTACTCAATCTATTCTATAGAAATGCTGATATATATATGCAAAAATAGATAGAACAATATATACATACATATATATGCAAAGGTATATATATAAAGATATATATACACCTAAATACATATATATTCATATATTTCTGTTTTATTACAGTTCTGTTTATTTTAGCAAAATAAAGAAGAAACAACTTAAATGCCCATCAGCAGGGGAATTGTTAAAAATTAGACTACAACCATACCTTACAATACAATATAGCCATTAAAATATTGGAGTAGATGTATTAAGTTAATCATATGAAACTGCCAATGTTTTACTGCTATTGACATAAATAACAATTTCATATGCTTTAACGTAATATATGTACAGATGTGAAAAGACTTCTAAGAATATTGGTAGTTGTGGCTCACACCTGTAATCCCAACACTTTGGAAGGCCGAGGCAGGCAGATCACGAGGTCAGGAGATGGAGACTGTCCTGGCTAACATGGTGAAATCCCGTCTCCACTAAAAACACACACACAAAAAAAATTAGCCGGGCATGGTGGTGGGCACCTGTAGTACGAGTTACTTGGGAGGCTGAGGCAGGAAAATGGCGTGAACCCAGGAGACGGCACTTACAGTGAGCCGAGATCGCGCCACTGCACTCCAGCCTGGGCAACAGAGCAAGACTCCATCTCAAAAAAAAAAAAAAAAAGAATATTGGTATTTGAAAAAAGCAAGTTGCAGAACAGTACCTGTAGTATGGCATATTTATGTTTAAGACATAAGACAAACATATAGAGAATAATAAGAAAGGTACTCATCAAAAAATTAAGATGGTTATTTCCGAGCATGGCAGTTTTCATACTTTACTCTATAAAGTTCTGCATTGTTTCAATCTTTTGCTGACGAAAATTTCTTATAATTCCTTGGCTGGGCGCGGTGGCTCACGCCTGTAATTCCAGCACTTTGGGATGCCAAGGCGGACGGATCACGAGGTCAGGAGATCGAGACCACCCTGGCTCACATGGTGAAACCCTGTCTCTACCAAAAATACAAAAATTAGCTGGGCGTGGTGGCACGTGCCTGTAGTCCCAGCTACTCGGGAGACTGAGGTAGGAGAATCACTTGAACCAGGGAGTCGGAGGTTGCAGTGAACTGACATGGCGCCACTGCACTCCAGCCCGGTGACAGAGCGAGATTCAAAAAGAAAGAAAAAAATTATAATTTCTTTTAAAAATTTGTTTAATACAACTGATTCCAAAGTATTTACATATTTTGTAAACATTATTTTTCTGATCTACAAGCTCCAAACTCTCAGAAACTCACCATGTTTCTTCACTGGGCCAGACAAGGAGAGTGATAAAAAATTAACCTTAATTATTCAAAGAAATCCAGATGGTGAGAAAAGAGTAAAAAGCAGAACTTCAACTTGGTCAAGACGATTGCCTGAAAATTTCCTGCTTACTTTTCCTGTTTAAAGCTGGATTTTCAGATGAATGTGAGGTGATCTGCTTCTCTGTGATTCAGAACTTCATAGAACTTGGCAGGCAAAGAATTACAAAGAAAGGAAGAAAACGAAAGGGGGAAGTGAGGTAGTGAAAGAAGATAGGCAGAACTTGAGCAAGCTTTATAAAGTAACAGAACACACCCCATACCCTTTGGAACAAAGGAACAAAGCTGATGGGACACAGCAGATGTTCTCCTTCCCAAACCATGAAAGCAAAACATTCTACAACTCCTCCTCACTCCAAGGAGTGGCCAATGCTCCTTACTGGAATATCTGTACAACAAAGGTTTTTCTTGTCATTATTGTTTCCTTACAGGATGGATAAAAAAGAAAAAACACCATTACCAGAAACTGTCAAGTATGGTTTAACTGTATTGTCATTTTATCTTGATTCTTCTTTCTTCTAACAAAGTTCACTGAGGTGTAGTTTACATACAATAACAGGAACTCATTTTAAGTGTACACATCCATGGGTTTTTGACAAAGCAATACACCCATGTAACCACCACCATAATCAAGATATAAAACATTTCCATCATCCAAAAAGATTCCTTTGTGTCAACATGCTTTGCTCACAGTGAAATTGAAAAAACAATTAAAATTAAACAAAAACGGCCAGGTATGGTGGCTACGCCTGTAATATCAGCACTTTGGGAGGCCCAGGCAAGTGGATCACTTGAGGTCAGGAGTTCAAGATCAGCTTGGCCAACATGGAGAACCCTCGTCTCTACTAAAAATACAAAAATTAGCTGGGTGTGGTGGTGCACATCTGTAATCCCAGCTACTTGGGAGGCTGAGGCACAAGAATAGCTTGAACCCAGTAGGCAGGGGTTGCAGTGAGCCAAGATTGCACCACTGCACTCCAGCCTGGGTGACAGAGCGAGACGCCATCACAAAACAAAACAAAAACAAACCATTCCTTTGTGCTTGTCTATCCCCACTCACAACCCTAGCCCCTGGCAACCACTGGTGGGTTGTCTGTCACTCTAGATTAAATTTTTCTTAACATTTCATATAAGTAGAATCATATGGTATGAACTCTTCCGTGTGTGACTTCTTTCACTCAGCATAATGTCGTCGAGATTCACACATGTTGCTGTGTGCTTTGATAGTTCATTCCTTTTTCTTGTTGAGTAGTCTATTGTGTGGCTAGGCCAGGAGCACAGTTTATCCATTCACCAAAGTAAAACTTTGGTTGCTTCTAATCTTTGACTATTATGAGTAAAGCTGCTATCAGCATTCGTTTGACTCTTACTTTTGAAGTGAAATTCAAACCTAGCCCTTTTGGTGGGGCATGGAGATGGGAGATAAAACTAGCATTTTTAAGGCACCTACTAAGAGCTAAGATAAAAGACAAGGAAAGAGGGGAGCATTCTTTCCATCTCTAAAGAAAGCACAATAAGGATTGCCCTGGCCGGGCACAGTGGCTCACGCCTGTAATCCTAGCACCTTCGGAGGCCGAGGTGGGCGGATCACCTGAGGTCAGAAGTTCGAGACCAGCCTGATCAACATGGTGAAACCCCGTTTCTAGTAAAAATACAAAAATTAGCCAGGTGTGGTGGCACGCGCCTGTAATCCCAGCTATTCCGGAGGCTGAGGCAGGAGAATTGCTTGAACCCAGGAGGCGGAGGTTGCAGTGAGCCGAGATCCGCGCCATTGCACTCCAGGCTGGGCTACAAGATGGAGACTCTGTCTCAAAAAAAAAGAAAAAAAAAAGAAAAGAAAAACAAAAGGATTCTAAAAATTGAGCAAGGAGCTGGAGTCTCCGAAAATGACTAAAGCCCGAAATATTAAATATTTCTGCTCATAGTTGAAGACAAAACCTTATCCAGCCTTGGCGGCTCCTTCCCCCTTTATCAGGGACTTAGTTCATGATCAGGAGGCTCACAGAGTACTAGAAGGGAGGGTCCGAGTCCAGCCGGGAGGACTGCGGCATGGAGGGCGGCCTAGGACGTGCTGTGTTTGTGCTGACCCTGGCCTCCTGGCCTCGCTGCTGTCGCCGAGCTCCGTACTGGTCCTAAACACCCGCAACGACGATGCGCTGTGGCAGCTGGAGGCCAAGCTGGGCGCCAGGCAGTCTGGCTTGCACGTGGTGCGGGTGCGCGCAGACCTGGGCGCCGAGGCTGGTTTGCAGTCCGCTGCTTGGTGCCCTGCGTCAGCTCCCCAGGGCCGCGGGGCTGCAGCGACTGCTGTTCATCAACAACGCGGGCTCTCCTGGGGATGTGTCCAAAGGCTTCGTGGACCTGGGTGACTCCACTCAAGTGAACAAAGACTGGGCGCTGAACTGGACCTCCATGCTCTCTCTGCCGGACTTGCAGCGTCCTGAAGGCCTTCCCAACCAGTCTTGGCCTCAACAGAACTGTGGTTAACATGTCAACCCTCTGTGCCCCGCAGCCCTTCAAAGACTGGGCACTGTACTGTGCGGGAAAGGCTGCTGCTAACATACTGTTCCAGGTCCTGGCGTCGGATGAACCTAAAGTGAGGGTGCCGAACTAGTCCCCAGGTGCTCCCGACACAGACGTGCCCCAGCGGTTAGCCCAGTAGACCTCCATGGACCCAGACATGCGAAAAGGCTGCAGGAGCTGAAGGCAAAGGGAGAGCTGGTGGATTGCAGGGTGTCAGCCCAAAAACGGCTGAGCTTGCTGCAAAAGGAGGTGTTCAAGTCTGGAGACCACGTGGATTTCTACGATAAATAAACCCATGTGTTTGGCTTCCTGAACCTTTCTGCTCCCACTTTCAGACACACCCCAGAGCCCCGTGGCTCCTCACACCCTCCCATGGTGGCAGTCCTGCCTTACACAGATAAACACTCATGTCTACTGTCCTACCCTCACACATCGCCTGCTGTGATGAGCTTCCAGGTCGCTGGCCTTACTAGTTATCGGGAGTCTGGACTTGGCACCCTGGATTATGAGGAGGCTTAGGAGAGAGGTTATGAGTGTCCCTGTCTCTATCCCCAGGAAGAGAATTTAAGGGATAGGAAGAGCAGGAAAAGAAGCTGAAACACACCAGAGAGGAGGTTGTGTCTCCTGCTCATAGCTAGTCCATGGGGAGTGGGAAGAGTGACCTGAGTCAAATAGGAGGACACATGCAGATTCGCAGATGGCCTGGCGGGGAGAAAGAGCAGAAGGTACAAGTCCCCGCCCACACAGATGTCCCTCGCTGAAGGGAGCAGCACCTTCTGTTGAACTTTGTGTCCTCACTCTGATGTCTCCTTCCTCCAGAATCCACCACCCCTCCCCCAGGCTGGGAGAAGGGGCCCTTGGATGTCTGTGTACATGGCCAAGGCAGATACAAATAAAATTTAAAAAAAAAAAAAAAGAAGAAGAAGAAGGGAGAGTGTTACCTAACCTTTTCAGTTAAGGCAACATTGCTACCTTTCATGGAGTGAGTGACTGAAGTCAAGAAGGAAGCCCTGCTTGGGATTAGAGAAACTGAAAAGAAATACGATGACTCATTAAAACAGTTTGAAAACCATAGAAAGGTCAATAATTTAACGCAAATATTAATTAAATGCCTAGAAAAAGAAAAGGGAGGCAAAAGTGAATGAAGAACATCTACTGCCCTTCATGTGTGTCAACCACTGAGCTACAAGTTTTACCTGTATGAATTGAATTGATTTTCATAACCCTATAAGGCAAGTACTATTTTTATCCCCTTTTTACGTATGAAGAAACCGTGACACGGAGAAGTTTAATAACCTGCCCAAGGTACACACAGTAGAGCAGTCAGATTCCAGTTCACTAACTACTGCTCTATCCTCTTCCTTGGCACTACATACCAGTGACTGCTGGGGCAACAAAAATGTAGAAAACATGTCCCAGTCTTTAGAGGACTCATGGGGAAACACCAGACAATATTGTGACTTTGGGAAAGTGGCCTAATATTTCTAAATAAAATGGAAATTAATAATCCCTTTAATGTCCTCCTTACAAGGCTCATTTATTTATCCCATAAGTTCTTACTAAATATCTCTTATGTGTCAGGCACAGTACTGAAAGTTCCTCATGGAGCATATATTCTAGAAAGAAGGCAAGACAATATTCATGTAAAAAATAGCCACCGGGCATGGTGGCTCACGCCTGTAATCCGCCTTCTGGGAGGCTGAGGTGGGTGGGTTCCAGACCAGCCTGACCAACATGGTGAAACCCATCTCTCTAAAAATACAAATAAAAAATACAAAATACAAAACACAAAAATACAAAAAATTAGCCCGGGTGTGGTGGTGCATGCCTGTAATCCCAGCTACCTTGGGAGGCTGAGAAGGAGAAATGGCTTGAACCGGGAGGCGGAGGTTGCAGTGAGCTGAGATCATGCGTTGCAACTCCAACCTGAGAAGAGCAAAATGCTGTCTCAAAAAAAAAAAAAAAAAAGCAGGGCACAGTGGCTCACCCTGTAATTCCCAGCACTTTGGGAGGCCAAGGCAGGCAGATAGCCTGAGGCCAGAAGTTCGAGACCAGCCTGGCCAACATGGAGAAACCCTGTCTCTACTGAAAAATACAAAATTATAAAATAAATTAGCCGGTGTGGTGGGCAGGAGCCTGTAATCCCAGCTACTCGGGAGCGGCTGAGGCAGGAGAATCACCTTGAAACCCAGGAGGTGGAGGTTGCAGTGTGCCTGAGATTATGCCATTGCACTCCAGCCTGGGCGACAAGAGGGAGACTTCGTCTCAAAAAAAAAGAGAAAGAAAGAGAAAGAAAATAGATATATAAGTAAATGGGGAAGAGAAAGAGCGGGGGCAGAAAGAGAAGGAGGAAAGGGGAAAGGGAAGGAAGGAAGAGTTATTTTTTGGACGGTAACAAGTGCTATGAGAAAAGGAAATTGAATGATGGATGAAGGGCGATTTTAAGTTGAGAGCTGGTTGTTACTTTGCATAAAAGCCAGCCAGAGATGTTTTCTCTGTAAAGTGATGACATCAAACTGATAACTGAACAGTGGAAAAGTAACCAGCATGTGAGGTCCCTAAGGA